AAGGTACAAATAACATGATTAGGTCTTGACTTGAGCGTCTGCAACAGAGTCCGACTCGTTGAGAAGGGGTGCAAACTGGCCGCGATGTCGCCATCTCCAACAGACCAGCGCATAGGCCGAAGCCAGGATAAAGATTAGGCCAAGGATGCCACAGGAGATGGCGATCAGCCCCCAGAGTCCAGCTGAGAAGGTCTCGGAATGTGGAGAGCCCAGCGAAAGCAGGATACTCCTAGAGAGTGGGAGAAAGAGAGAGCGGAAACATTACAATAGGCAGCTGTGGGCGCTCACCTCTCCCCTAGACGGACCGTGTTAGACCAACATGGAAGCCAGATCATGGCTGAACATGAGAAGGGGGGAGGGCAGTGTTGGTGGTACTTTTAGGGACGGGCCCAAACTGCAGCAGCCTCTCGTGGCATTTGTGGCAATCCCACCCATTTAAAATTTTGAGATTATAAAGGTAAGACACGTGTGTACGATGCAGTTTATGTGGCTAAAAGGAACGACCACAGCAGTGGCATTCGCAGTCACTCTGTTATGTACTTTAGGTCGTAGAAAGATAAGGAAAATGGCTGCAACATAGAGGGACTTCTCACGGAATTGGGGAAACAAAGCAAAAGGTCCAGCATCGTGCATTACATTGAAACAAATTTATAAGGGAAAGTTTGCCTATTAACCAAGAACATCTTCATTGTAGACTTTTGCTGTGGAAACTCATTTTTTCCGGCCATCAGGATTTGGATGTTAGTGTTATGAATTGGAAAATCGGCATCCCAAGAAGTATAATTATGTAGAGAAAGCACTCTGGGAAAAGATGGTTTATTCGGTGAATTTTCGAAGCTGGAGCCCCGCTTCGTCTTCAGACCTAGAGAAAAGGTATTGGGCCAAAAAGGGCTAACAACTAACATCGAAAGTTCGTGGGAAAGTCAATAACGCCATGGCGTGGCGCTTGCGCCAGTACCTTGCTGCCGTGTTTTTCATTCCCTTTGGATTGGCTCGCGTCTCGCGTACTTCTGCTAGAGGCTTCGGTACGACGATTCTCAGTCGGTGTGCCTGTTTATGCATTGTGCGTTCGAGTGCATAGCTTCGACAAATTCGC